AAGTAAACTTGGTTCGAAAAAAAAAAAAAAAAAAAAATTTGTACTTTAAAACAGCAGTGAAACGGGGGTGTTATCAACGTTACGTACAAAGTGTATTGAGATGCCTAAGTGTATTATACCAGAGCCCTATAACTTTGCCCCGGTAATTATCATCCTCGCATCGCGGAACTGCAGCTGTACTACTCCGAAATTAGAACGCCTTCGCGCATATGTTGGTACTAGATATGATTTACAATCTATGATGTATATATGTAGACGGGATGTGGGTGTGCTTTACAAACTCCGTGTCTCTGCATACATGCATATCGTGGACGTACTAAACAAAAAATTATACGCCAAAGAGTGTCGGAAAGTCCGAAAAAAGTCATACGTTTTGAGGAAAAAAAAAAAACCAAAAATCTCCTCTTGCACAAGTTTACAAAAGTCCGGGGAAATACAGACGTATGGAAAATCAAGTAGGTGTGACGTATACTGTTTTTAATTTAAAATTTTTTTTTCCCCCAAACTCTGGGATGATTGAGATTCCTCGTTATCGTTCCACCTTCATTTTTTGACTAGTAATTTTTTTTTTTTTTTTCCAATTTTCTCGACAATCGGGAAAACAGATAATATTTTCGAGCAAATGATCTACAAAAATGCCCATAGTCTTGAAAATGAAAACTTTTCTTTTCCAAATACCATGTGTGCTTCTGAAGCCACGTACGGTTTGACAAAATAACGCATAAGGCACGGCAAAGCCCTCTTTGAAGCCGCTCATCGTCAGGCCTACACCTCATACCTAACAATGAGGTATCTGGTATCAGAGGCAAATATGGCACATTACATTGCACGACGAGTAACATTAACTACATGGTCCGCGCGAACGAAACGTCGCGTAACACATAACAAGCCAAGTATATTACCGGCTCGTATCGTCAAATCCCTTCGTGATGTACTACTACCCGTAACTGTTTAGCCGGTCGTGTGTATGTGCTCGCGTGTATACACGTTAATTCTAATGAAATGCCCGTGGCTGAGATTTTAACCATCAGGTTTCATAATGCACCTACATCGCACGGGGTACAGTGGGTTCGCGTATGTATACACGGTTGCGTCATGTAACCAACAGAAAAGAGAGAGAGAGAGGGAGAAAAAAAATTGGGGCAGCACGAGTGGGAGGAGGGGAGCTCCGCTAATTAGACGAATTTGAGGAAAGTACGAATCGTACGTGTATATACACTTTCACTCGAAGATTCGGACACGTTACTCGGAGTTTAAGGTGAAAGCCACGCGCGCACGTAAATGCACACGTAACAGTAGCTCCGCACGTTTTGTACATTTACCTTTAATATATATATACTTGTGCCCGCTCGTCTATGGAAAGGCTCTGCCACGGTGTACCTATATAATATGTACATGCCCGTGTGTACGTAAGGTTGCTTTTCCTTTTTCATTCGTACACTGACAGTATTTTATACATCCGTCTTGTACAATCGGAAGAAAATAATCTACCTGTTCTGTGAAATACTCATTTTCGCCAATTAAACCGAGCGCGAGGTGGCTTAGGTGTTACTTGTCGCGTGTTATGTATGTTTTGTTCCACGACAGACGTATACTTGATATTAAAAACTGAACTCCTAAGACATTCAGTAGAAACGGACATTGGATGCTATTTTATGCATTAAAAATCTATTGAAAAAAAACAAATCGTGAATATTAATAACTCTAGCTTCGCCAAAACATTAAGTAGAAACGGACGCGTTACGGTCAGACTTGCGGCTTATTGCTACCTTATTTTTGTTAAATGTATTGGATGCTATTACTTCTGTTGGTTACTGGGATTATATTTTGTGCATTAAAAATCTATTGAAAAAAAAACAAATCGTGAATATTAACAACTCTAGCTTCGCCAAAACATTAAGTAGAAACGGACGTGTAACGGTCAGACGGACGGTTTGTAATTATATTTGTACCTACTAGGTATAGTGTTAGCATTTGTTGCCAATTTACTGATCCGAATAAAAGTCCAAAGTTGCGCGTAAGGATGTACATTATAAGTTTGGCAAAGTTTCCGGCGTACTCGTATATTACTCTTGCGGAGCATGTTGCGTATGCAAGAAAAACATCGAAACTTGGAGCGCACGAGCAGACGAGAGCCCAACTTTATAAAACAGCGTTGATACGGTAGCTACACGCGCACCTTGGGGGGGGGGGGGGTATATGTTGAACTATTTTCAATTTAATTAACTTACTCGGTGGGTAGGTGCGGAAAAAAAAACACACAGCAAGTGCAAGCGTCGCGAGGGCGACCTACAATATTTTTGTTATCCTTTCGCGACAATGTCAGGCGAGAGGAAAGGAAAGGCGCTTTATGTACACCCAAAAGCCAGTAAGCACTACTCGTCGAGCTTTATAAAGTTTCTCCGACCGGAAGGAAACTTTTCAGTATACAGTTACCTACGTAATACAAGTGCACACAGATATGTAGAGGAGTTGGGTGGGTACACGTCCAAGTGCGGATAAAACACATACACGCGTAACGATACGAGGATGATTTATGCGCGAGTGCGTGAACCGCATGTTTGTCGAGATTGCACATGAGTACGCGGTGGTGGGTGTCGACCGATGCGGATTTTTGTGAAAAAAAAAAAAAAAAAAAAAAAGTTCCCTCGCTCGAGGTGGATTCATATTATAATAGAGTCCAGGGGTCTCGGGAACATCTTAAAATAGCGAATAAGCTTTTAGCACGTCTTGGAAAACCATTGGATAGCTCGAGAAGTCAACTTTTTTTTCTTTTTTTTTTTTCCACGGAGAAGGAAAAAAAGTATCGTATGTAGAAACAGGTGATATTATACCGCTGTACATGGGGAGTACGTGTAATTTGGTTAACATCATACTCGGCGAGCTATCTCAAAACTTACCGTGGTGACATATATATATATATATTGTAACCTCTCGCATCCTCCTGTGCCGATAAACCCACGTGGGCGTATACCGCAGCCTCTTTCGTATAAATTAGTTAGAACAAAACGAGGGTAGGTACGTACATACAGGTATATTGGTTTAAGTCGTGCGTGCGTAAGCATATATTCCTCCCTCTCGCTTTCTAAACCAATGTGCGGGCATGCGTTGGCATATATTATACAGGGTACACCTATACGTAAACATATATATATGCGCGCATCGGAAGGGAATAAAAGGTATAGGCAACGTTGGTCTGGATCGCGCAGCCGCTTCGCGTCCTTGCCACCTATATATACGCGCCGTGACCGACAGCTATGTTTTATACTTGTGTGTATGGACTCGCTGTCTCTTTTATGTATCCAAGTTGCAGCTATTTTTACCCTCCGCTGGGTTGTTCCGCTCCCGTTGTATACTCTATTCGCCCATGTTTACATACATACCAATGTAGGTGTATATATTTGCCGTGTTATCACCGAGAATCCAAATAAAACCCCTTGGCGATTTACACTTGTTGGATGACTCTCTCGAGTGATTTTCTCGCCCCGTTTTACACGTGTTTTTTTTGGGGTGGGGGGGGGGAGTGAGGTACCGTTGAGGTAAAAGAGTCCGTATTACGAAATAATCACGTGATTTTATATACATACACCGATCAGAGCAAACAAATCACCGCACGTACAGGGTGCGTGAGAAATAATCGGTATTGCGCGAAAAAAAAAAAAAAAAAAAAAAAAGCTCAATCGACGTTTATGTATACTTATGTATTCTACGAGCGCAACAAAGGCTATAAATACCATTTGTCTCCAGCCCCCAGCCGTTACCCGTACAGCGAGTATAGGTACATGGTAAAATATACGTGGTATACAGCGCGCGTGTGCATCCCCATCCCTTCCCTCTGGCGTTTGCAAAGCGCGTGCACCACGGCCCACTTGTAGGACGAAGAGAGGCCCATATATACGTTACAACACCCATAATGCGGTTCTCCTCGGTGAGGTGCGTCGCAAACTCTCCGTCTCATCATCCCCAATGCACGCGCGCACGCTACACCCCCCGCCAGAGAGAGAGAGAGAGTGAGAGACAAGTTTCTCTGCCACCCTACACCTGACGCACGCACACGTACAAGCGGGGAAGCAACAGATGGCCGGCAGTCGGCGAGCCCGAGGCATGGGTTCCAGAAGCGCGGGCTCCTCCTCGTCGGGCGTCGTCGAGCTCGTCATGTTCCTGGACGTGTGCCGGGTGTACCTGGAGACGGCGGTGAAGCGCCGCAACCGCGGCTCCTCCCTCAGGACGCACCAGCAGGGGGCCTCGACCCTCTGGGCCATCGTGACTTTTGTACGCACGGGGAGCGCGGCCGAGGACTTTTTGCGCTGGACCCGGAGCTACCGGGTGCCCCACTTGAGGCAACGCCGGGACCACCGCCACTACTACGACGGACGGGTCAACGGTAGATCTTCCGAGGAGGAGGAGGACGACCGCTTTCGGAGGCTCCACGGCAAGCTGTTGCGGGCGCTGCAGGAGCTCTTCTACTGCGGCGTTTGTTTGCCCTCGGACGAGCTCGGGCTTTGAGGCTCCTTCAACCGCACCGTGTCCGTGTGTGTACGCGGAGAGCCGGGATTTTTTACCCGTTTCACCCCCATCTACCCACCCCCCCCCCTACTGTCCAAACATCTTGCCGTGAGCAAACAGGTGGATGGTGATTTTGGGTGCTGTGTATGAGTGCGCGCGCACGGTGTGTATAATACGTATGGACTTTTTTTTNATTTTCACGCTATCAATGTGAAATCAAACAACAAGCCGGCGTGGTCTCCCCCTCCTCCTCCACCTCGTCACGAGACTTTTGCGCAACTCAACAACATACATTACAATATCTGCTATACGAATACACGCATCCCTCTGTTTTCCAGAAGCTGTTCCCCCCATGCGCGCAAATCGCAGGAGCACGTGCCTCTCTTGTGTGTCCCTCTATACAATAATAATAATAATAATAATAATAATAATAATAATAATAATAATAATAATGATGATGATGATGATGATGATGATGATGGTGATGAAAAAAGTAGCGGTAGAAGGAGGGAGGAAGGTCTTGGGGTGCGTGGAAGGTGAGGGCCGCGATGTCGGAGGGCGAGAACGAGCAGGCGGCGAGGTCCCTGGCCCTGGAGCAGGCCTACGTCCACGAGGTGTACGAGCAGTGCGCCGACCGGACGGTCCAGGGCAGACAGTGGCCCCGCATTTACCAGTTCCTCCAGGAGTTGGAGCCCGGCGCCCTCGTCTGCGACATCGGTGGGTTTATTGCTCTTTTATTTCTTTCTCATATGGTTTTTACGCCACTGACTGGTGATTTTTTTTCGGCGCAGGGTGCGGCAATGGCAAGTACCTCAACGTCAACCACAACGTCTTCAAAATCGGGGTCGACCGGTGCCAGAGGTTCACCAATATCGCGCGGGGCAAGAAGAACGAGGTGAGCTCCATCGCGTTACTTTATCCATTGCAATGTATATGTCGAGAAGGGGGGGCGGAAAAGGAAACAATTATTCCAACCATGTATCGAGTGAAAATAAAGAACCTCTGTTGTTTTTTTTTTTTTTTTTTTCTGAGGGAGGTTGCGCAATTATCGTCGTTTATTAGAGCAGTATTCGATCGATTATATTGCTAGTACTCGATAGAGTTCCTTTTTGTTTTTTCCTCGACGAGTGTTTATTTTTATACCTGCAAGGCTGATGTGAATCTAATTTCGCGACAAGTGACGTGAAACGTTGGCACTAAAAGTAGAACAATCACTTTGAGGCACAACATAACGTAAAAAGATAATTTAATGAGAATCCTCTGAGAGAAAAAAAAAAACAAATTGTCAAAAGGTGCTGACGTGCGACAACCTGTCGATGCCCTTCCGGGACGAGAGTTTCGACGCGGTGCTGTCGATAGCCGTGGTCCATCACTTCTCGACGACGGAGCGCCGGGTGCGCGCCATCAAAGAGCTCGCCCGTGTGCTGAGGATCGGCGGGCGGCTCATCATTTCCGTATGGGCGATGGAGCAGAAGCACAGAAAGGTACGCTTCTTTTTCTTTTTTTTTTTTTTCACCCTTGGCTCTGTTATCGAGCAACACGTGTTACCCGCTCATAAGTAACCCAATTTAAATTTCCAACGAGAGTGGCATTGCAATTTAAACTAAAGCAGAAGTTTCATGGGGGGGATCAATGTTTTTTTTCTCCCTCGTCACTTTGGAGCTTCGACAAGAAAAAAAAAAAGTTGGTTTTCCGCCGTGACTTTGCAAACTTGTATGTTTCACCCAAAAGTTCGGGATCTCATTTAAATGAGATGGAAAGGTAATTTGTTTCGCACGTCGCATACAAAGAAAGACCAAAGAAAAAAATCATCAACTCGTAGAAAAAAAAAAAAATGGTATCGTTACAAAGGAAGGAAAAAACTGTTTAAATTTACCTTGCATGGAGTATGGTTGACGCGACGTGTATTTTTCTTTTGTTTTCCATTTGTAATTTGTGTATCGACATAATATCATAACGATTGATGGCCTCGATTGTTTTCCCAGTTCGAGTCTCAGGACGTGCTGGTGCCGTGGCCTAAAGCTTACGGGATCACCTCGACGGGGAGCCCGATGAGGGTCCGGGGCATGTCTTGCGAGGAAAGATCGCGGGGCAAGAGTGCGCACCAGGCCTACCTGATGTCCAAGAGGTGAGTGTGGGTGTGCACACCCTCAAACAACACAACAAGCGTGATTAGGAAGTGAGAAGGGGACTACCTCCTCGAGCTTAGATTAAAATATAAAAATGTATACAGAGCAAGTAGTAGCAGCAGAGGCAGCAACAATAACCCAAGGAAAGGCAGTAAAAGCAAGAGCTACTGGATCGACCCGATCTTCAGTCCGTCGCCCTCGACGAGCAGCCTATCCAGCCCCAACGAGACCTGCTACAGCTTCTTCCGCCGAGCCCTGCAGGTAAACACCACAACAAGTGTAATAATTATACACGTGTACTGTATAACCAGCCCATATACGTACGGCAATTGCAGAAACTGGCTGGTGGTCGTCGCAACAGTCGGGCCTGGTTCCTCGAGAACTGGCAGAACAGCGGCAGCAAGGAGCACCACAGCTACGAGGATGACGAGGACGACGCCGACGTGGACGACCTGCCGATCGAGCTGCGCCGACTGGAGGAGCACTCGAGTCTCCCGCCACTCGACAACCCCTCCGGAGGCGGTGCCAGGGACAACGAGCTGCGCAAGCAACACTCGGACACCCTGAGCGTCAAGTCCAAGAGCCTGAGCAGCATAGTCGAGGCCCAACAGCAGCAACAACACGGCCTCGACCTCGTGCGCTCGCGCTCCAGTATACCCGGGCTCTGCGGCGCTGTCGACCCCGACTCTCCGGCTGCTTCTACTGCCCCGGTGGAGGACGTTACGACCGGTGGCACCCAGCACCAGCAGCTGCAGAGACAAGAGTCGGGCAGACAGAGCCCGGCCACGAAGCCCAAGCTGGTCAAGCAAAAGAGACACCTCCTCGAGGACAATGGCCACGAAGTGGGCAAAGAGGAGGCCGCGACAAACGACACTGCCGTTAACGATATTACTTCCCAGGGAGAGGTCGCGGGCTTACAGGTAAGGTTTTTGCAACCAGTCATTCTGCTGCACAGAGTTTTCCCTCCCGACTAATGTCCAAATGACCACCTAACAACGATAGGTGGAGGAGGAGGAGGAGGAGGGGGTGTTTTCGGGCATCGGCAAGCGGGGCAGCGTGCACAAGCAGAGCTCGATGAACGAGGAGCTGATGATGTCGACCGAGAGGCTGAGGGAGCGCGAGAGCGTGCGCAGGAATATAATGAAGCAGGCCTCGCTCAACGAGGAGTTCCTCTACAGCAAGAGCCGGCCGGGCCTGGGTGGCTCCTTCGAGGCGCTCAAGGACACGCTTTACAGCGCAGGGAGCGCGACCAAGCGCTTCCAATTGCTCAAGAGCGGCCTTACCAATCGCATCAGGCAATCGACCAACAACATCGAGAAGGTCTCGGGCATGGCCATCAAGAACGGCTTCGTCAGGATACTACAGGTACGGGGGCAGAGAAATCCTTGTGGGAATCGCCGATTTCTCTTTTGTTTTTGTCGCTGGTGTACACGCGCTTGTATATACTTTCTCCGAAAATGATTCCCACGGCTATTATCTCCTCTGTTGGTTGGACGTGAAAAAAAAAAAAAAAAAAAAATGATCTTTGTGGCCTCTTAGAGTTGGAAGTCGACCGAGAGTCCGTCGGCGAGCACAACCACGGCGACGACGACGACGAGCGACCAGCGCAATCATCACCACCATTACAATTCGTCGTCGTCGAGGTGCTCGCAGTCGTCGTCCTCCTCGTCGTCCCAGGCGAGTTCGTCGAAGCGCAGCTACGGGGACGACCAGCAGCAGCCGAGCATCGAGCGCCGGCTGTCCCGGGAGGACGGCTCGGACTCGTCCAAGGACAGCAGCCTGCAGAGCGACACGAGCGTCGACTCGGAGGACAGCCTGCCCTCGGTGATCTACAACCCAAAGAGCTCGAGTCCCCAGCTCGAGGCAGCCCTGGCAGGGGCCACTCTGGCCGTCCAGCTAACCACCGCTTCGGCGCCGCCCTCGCCCAGGATAAAGTACGCGCCCGAAGCCGTCGACGGCCACAACAGTCGGCTAAAACTCGTCTCGACCTCGCCGCTGCTCAAACAACAATTCCCCGCCACGAGCAAGAGCTTACCTCCACCCAGTCCACCCGGGTTGTCGCCCCACACCCTCAAGACGGCCAACTTGCGGCCCTTCTTCTCCGGCCACGAGGTCCTCCCCGCGACCACCACGCCCCTACCCTTCACCGAGAGGCTGGCCGAGGTCAAGAGGTCCTTTGACGCGCAACTGCCCCTGCCCGGGATACCGGCCTACGACGGCAGTACAGACTCTCGGGGCACCAAAGGTTCGCTCGCTTCGATAAGAGGTTTTTTTTTGTTTTTTCCCTCCATCATTATCAGACATAGGTGTAAGTGCAGCTGCAATGGATCTCGTCAATGACTCTCTGAGCCTCAGAAAGATAGAAGAAAAACACTCATACATTTTTTATTCCTCCCCAAAATGTACAGTTGTATTTCCATAGTAAAACCGAAATCATGACATTGTTGCAGATGGAGGAGCTTCATCGCAAAAGACGCCTGCAACAGTATCCAGTAGGCAGTTGAGCGAGGCCCTGCCAGAGCCGAAACGGCCGTCCCTGCACACGATCCGGGGCTACAGGTCCATGTCCACGACGGTCAACGAGGAGGAGGACGATGACTTTGAGGAGGAGCCCAGCTCCGAGGACACCTCGCCGTTGATAACCGACGCGATAGACGAGGCGCTCGAGCGTCTCAGCGAGAAACCGGTGCTAAACACCGCGGTGGCAACGACGCCGAAGGAGGACAGGGAGGAGGACAGTCGGAAGAGCAGACTGAACCAGATAAAGGAGCTGCTGAGCCAGAAGCCGGGGTTCGCGACGCGCGCCCGCAGCACTGCCTTCCCCATAGTCAGGCGGGCCTCGACCTCCAGCTCCGGGAGGCTCGAGCAAGTGACCAAGGCCCTGCCGCGGCTTCTGTCCCTCGAGCTCTTCAATCCCGAGACCGACGACCTCGACAGCGACTCCAGCGGCGTCAGTTCACCCGAGTCGGCCGGCTCGGTCATCAGCGTCATATCGGACGAGCGGTACCTCGCCGCCGCTTCCAAGGACCAGACCAAGAAACAACCGGCCGAGGAGCTGCCCTCGACCTCCGTAGCTGGTGGTCCATCACCAAGCTCCACTGTTGTCGAGACCAAGGTATACAACGCGTGGTTCGTGTGTGATTGACCCTTTTTTTTTCACCATGAGTTGAAACAATGTGCCTTTGGTGCAGAGCGCGAGGCCGGTTTCGCTGGACACGCGGATATCCCCGGTGGAGAGCACCTGGAACGAGGAGTGCAGTAGACAGCTCAACGACCTGACGGACCGGCTAAGCGGCAACCTCATCAGGGACATTGACCAGTACTGCCGCAGGACCAAGCTCGACCTCGACGACGACGATCCCAACAATTTGGCCTACCCGAGGTTCTTATGATCCCACAGTACATGTGTAATATCGTATATTAGGGGAAATTCCACAATGCGTCTGTATTTCAGGGGAAGAACGTGTAAATACGACAAGCAACCCGAGTCCACGGTTCACCAATCGACGCGCGACCTCGACAGTAAGGACCGCGGGGCAGAGGACGACGGGGTCGTCGTGGACGAGGGCCGGGGCAGCAGCCTGGCGACGATCCAGCGAAGCTGCTCCGAGGAGAGCGACAACAGCAGCGGCAGTGGTTTCATCGTCGTCACCAAGAACGGCGAGTTCCTCAGCGAGCGGGAGCTCCGCCAGCAAACGAGCCAGCACCGCCACGCCACGGGTTCTGGGAACAACAGCAACTCGATCGAGTCGAGCGACATCGGGGACTCGATAGAAAACACGATAAGCGAGAGCGTGAGTAGCCAGGAGACGCGACGGTTGTGCAGCAGCAGCACGGCCTCGCTGGCCTCGAGCTTGACGACCGACGCGGCCGGGACGAGACTCCGGCTGGCCGCCCAGCCGCGCTCCGCCTCCGAGGAAATACCATCGAGCGCGGCTCGCAGCGGCAACAACGGCATCGCCTTTCTCCTGCACCAGCAGCGCCAGCACCAGCAGCAGACCCTGGGCGGCTTCAACAGACGGGGCCACCAGGGCTCGAGGCGCTCGGCCACTAGCACGAGCAACGGCACTCTCAGCGGCTCCTCGTCCCAGGAGTCCCTGCCCTCCGATCAGATGACCTACCATCAGTACTACCACGTGTTCCGCGAGGGCGAGCTCGACCAGCTGATCGACAAGTACGTCGAGAACCTGCACATCATATCCTCGTACTACGACCAGTCGAGCTGGTGCATCGTCGCCGAGAAGGTCCAGGTTTGGACTATATGACTACGTGGTCCACCTACGGTCCTTCTCCACACGCTCCTCCACCACCTCGTCCTTGCCTCTGAGCTCGATGCGTTATTGCTATTGTTGCTGATGTTGTTGTTGTTGTTGTTGTTGTTGTTGTTACTGTTGTTGTTGTTACTGTTGTTGTTGTTACTGTTGTTGTTGATATTGTTGTTGTGGTTGTTGTTGTTGATGTTGTTGTTGTTGTTGTTGTTGTTGTTGTTACTGTTGTTATATACATCGCCTACGGACTCTTTTGCTCGCGTCTGCGACAACTATATCGTTACTTATTGCGCCACTGTTTTTAAACGATGTTATTAAAAACTTTTCCCCCCCCCCCCCCAAGTAGAGACGTGAAATCTTGGTTTGCGAGTTGAGAAAAATTTTCTTCACGCGTTACGTGTACCTTATTCTGATGCGGGCGTTATACGGAATATACATACAAGTACTTTGGCGAAGATTTCGTCGTCTTGTAGGAATGAAAAAAATTAATTGGACTCAAGCGTACGCTGTGATTTCGTGAGTCGTAAACTTTTCGAAATTCGAACGGAAGCAAAAAATAAACGCGTGCTAGTTTTGATACATTACTGATGCATCGACTATACGTAACATGTGTTAATGCATATATAGACGCAGGAAAAAAAAAAAAAAAAAAAAAATGAAATTCCTTCGCGTGAATGTTGATCGATACACTATAGCGGGTTAAGCAATTTGTAAAACTTTTGTAAAAAAATTTACCGGCACGACACGCGTATCCTCTTATCACGTGGGAATGTAACTGGACGCTCGTTTGATTTTCGTTTATACATAATATTATATAGGGAGACATTTTACACGTAGGTACATTACATGTATAGGTTCCATGTATGCTTCGACCGACCCTCGTAACGTCTGCGTATAGGGATATTCTAAAAACCAGCATATAAGTACTTTCCAACCGCAATTCGATACGTATACGACTAAACATTGGAAACACGTGCTAAAGTAGTTGTTATTATAACATTGTTGCTTGATTCGTCGGACGCGCAGCAGCAGCAGTGATGATGACACGTACAATAAATTTTCGCAGGACTAACAAGTTTATCCTCATGAAAATACAAAAACTCGCTTGTTCTTTTGTATATATACTCACGCAAGTACGTAAATTCAATCTGAGAGTTGACCGACTGTCGCTATATACACGTAGGACATGAATAAGTTTTGTTGTAAAAGAAAAAAAGCAAAAAATCTCCAAGATTACGTGGAAAAATATAATGTCCGTCTCCAAGGTGACGCGCGCGTGTGCGAGAGATTTTTGCATGATGACTTTCATTCGTGGACACACGCCCTTGGGAGTGAAATACTACGTAAATTTTTCTTTTCAGTTCAGTGGGTCTATGCCGTTTACACGTGTAGTTATAAGTATATACATAAGCCACATGATGGCTCTGTCGGTAGCGTGTCTGCCTACAGATCTTGATGGCCGGGGTTCAAATCCCACTCTGGACAAAAATTTCATCAATGAATGAGGTTTTTTTCTGGATGAGAGTTGTACTTCAATAAACCTACCGATCTATNTTATAAAAATAAAAATAACATGCAGTCAATAATCCTTTGTAGCTTAACTCGTGTTGTTTGTCATTTGATAAGTTGATTGGATTTTTACAAATGAAATCCTTTTTTTTTATTTTAATGTATACATAATTATACACTAAACAAGAAGAAAATAACTTTTCTGTGGCATCTGTACAAGTATCTTTTTATTTAAATCATAGTTTTTAATAAATAACACTTTTGTTTTTTTATAAAATTCTTTTCTTAAACAAAATGAATGATAATACTAAATTTACGTAATTTTCATCTCAATCTTTGTAATTAACAAGACTCAATTTTATTTTTCAGCAGTCAATATTTTTGCAGTTCACCAAAAGCAATCAACACTTTATATTTTTTTAAGATTCATCGAATCGCTAAACAGTTAAAAATTGCGAACTGGCGCAATTTCGATAAAACAATTTGATATAAAACCTCAGCAAAAGATTTTACGCAAATTCATAAGTGTAGTGAACTAATAGTATTTGGTTTGGTATAAACCTTTTCAAGCTAAGCTGGACATATTTTTTATGCATTTATCAGTGATCCATCGTAGTTTTAACAGCTAAATGAAACACTTTTAGTGTGCTTGAAAATTGTTAGTTTGAAAAATCTACACTGATATTTTCATACCAACGCACTCAATTGAGCTTTAAGGTATGGCGTGCATTTCTAAGCGCAGACATCATACGGAGAATGTGCACATTAGCTGTTATACCATTGTAATATAATGTTAACAAAATAATTAATCTTATGCTATTCATTTATCGTTATTAAACCCAACGTATGGCTAAATACACTTTATAGTGTCAAAATAGCCGTGTCTGAGCCCTCAAGGGGCGATGATGAAAAAAAAAAAAAAAAAAAAAAAAAGTATATACATATATTATATATACATATGAGAGAGAAGAGGCGGTGCTCGGTTGTAAATATGTAAAATACGAAGGTGATGAATCGGAGTAGTAATCTATTTGAAATATAAAATAATAAAACGTCTATGACGCAAGCGCACACGACCGCTAGGAGATTCTTTCCTTTTATAGTAGGTACTTTGATTCATATACTTAACCGTCGATCTGATTTCAAAAAAGAAGAAAAAAAAAACAACAACAACAGCGTAATGCTTCTTTGCAGTGAGTTGAGTAGAAAATCACGCAAACTCATGATACGTATTACATATAGTACATATTATATATGAACATAAATAAACTGTATTAATAATCGAATTTATTATCTAAGAAAAAAAAAACGAAACTGTACCGTGTACTACAAATAAAATATATATATAAACGAATTTTAAAATTCAACAAGCGAGAAAATTAATGTTGGAAATAAGTAGATAACTTGTATACATTCCTCATTCTATATGAAAAATAGATACGAACGAGTTGTACACTGCATATGCATACAATAAATGTGTATATAACGGAAATATACATATATTAGTGCCACTTTAGAATGTAGAAGCGTATGTATACATATTTAGGTACGGATCATTAAACGCGAGAAGAAGATTTTTAAAGGCAATTCATCTTTCAAAATAAGTGATAGATAAATAGGATTGGTTTTTTTTTTCTTTTTTATGTATTATTCGTTATCTCGTAGCCAACGTTAACTTTGAAAATCTTCAAACACGCGTCATGTTTTCGGAAAATAAACGAACGATGCGGAAAAATATGACTGAACTCGATGGCTCGATCGGTATTAAAAAAAAAAATCACGATATACGTCCGTCTTAGCTTTTTTTTCTCTATTTTATTATAATGATTTTGATAAGTGATAAAAAATTATATATCCTACTGAGCAATTACTCACGATGAGACTTGTAAAATTTAAAATTACCTTAAAAACACCAAAAAAAGGATTATGATTTTGAAAAAAAAAACATAAAGAGTCAGTACCTCTATGAATTATTAAGATTATTATGCCTCCGTTTTTTATGATGTGGTATTGACAACTACATTTTTTGCCAAATTATTTAGAAATCGAAAAAAAGGACCATTCGTGCGCTCACGAACGAACGACGCATATATTTCACAACCGCATCAGCCATAATATTAATCCGAAAACGTATACTTAGTCCAGAAGAAAAAAAAATAAAAATAAAAATTGAAACGAAATTCTACTAACGGCCTGTAACAATAGGGACGCCAATAATTAATTGTCCCAGGACATTTGCTACAACACACATCTCGTACGCAAAATGTGAAAAAGTAACTAGTGGAAAATTAATTTTTAATATACACACAAAATGTAATGAACGATGGATGCGGCGACTAGACCCATAATATATCTTAACTGCGTGTAATCCAAGTATCATGCCTATGTGAAAATTCAAAGGAGATAGTAGAGGATGAGAAAGAAAAGGGACGAGCTTGGATTTAATTCGTTGTTTTTCATATGAGCTACAAAAGTTGTAAATAAATAGATAAGTTGGGGCCTTTTTCTTTGAATTTTGTAAAAAGAAAATAACGTATATTTTAGTTCTAAAAAAATTAGATAGGATGTACCTCGATTGTATTGGAAAATTATTTGTAACGCATTGCTGTCGATTCAATTGATTAGCCGTAGGTACCCGATGAAAAAAAAAAAAAACAAGGTTTAGGTGCAAAAGTGTTGCGATTGTACATTCGTTGGTTTAGTTAGGTTCTACATTTTTTTTTTTTTTTTTTTTTTTGTCATGCTTTAGAAAAAACAGTATTCAAAGGCATTCGACAGCTTCCATCGATGATGATGCGAATGATTTTGATGATGATACAAGCGCAGATATGTCGGATGGAACTTGGAAAAGATCATTCCTATATACGAGCTTCGAAGTACATGCAGCAGTCCAAAACGAAGGAAAAGCTTAGCATTTAAAAGTAAACGCATGTAATACTTGTACATCCCGTTATATCAGTAAGACAAGAGAGACCAGCTTTATTCAAGATGAGCGAAACTTATAAGTTATATGGTCAAAGATGTATAATTGAATAAACTGTGTGTATATCTAAGTACTACGATATGAGAAATTGCTACAGCACGACAGGTTCGAGGTACATGTGTATAAAGAGAAACAAAAATACACGTAACTAATTAGGTATGTAAGAAAAAAAATAAATAAATAAATAATTAAATGATATATTATACATGAATCGAGTCTCCCTGTGACTCGACGCGACGTTAAGTTTTATATCTAAAGATTGGTGCGTATACATAAATATATTTAATAAAATTGACATACGTGCTATCACACACATGCGCGAAGATTTCCTGCTGAAGTTGTGATATTTCCAATGGCAGAGGCTCAAAAGGAAAAGAAAGTATGGTAATGTTGCTGGCTGAGAACGAAAAAAAATAAATAAAGATGTATACCCTCCTTATATACCTTATCGACATATCAGCATCACTAAATATGATTCCTATCTCCTCTTTATCCAGAAAATTACTTTAATTAACAATTGGCTCTTAAACAGTACAATATTATATATCAAAGAACAACCAACATAGTACACAACTCAACGAGATATACGTAATCTGCAAAAAAAAAATTGTTCATGTAGGAAGCCATAAATTACAAAAATAACAATAAAAGAGAAATGCACGAACAAGATGTAACAAAGAAATTATATACATATGGCAAGTATATGGAAAATAGGTACATTGGTGAGTACCGATGGGCGATATGTGATGTTTTGTTTGTTTATTATTTGCATGTGAAGCGAAAGTGCGTAAACTCGAGACAACCCATGACATGGAGACTAAATAAATATCTACTTTGCTGTATCTTCAGCAAATCCACATCGTAGTGTAATAAATAAGTAATAAAATAGTAAAATATGTGAGCGAAAGAACGATGATGGTAACATTCTATGATTACAATGGTGTTGATAATTGATAAAGGTAATGGTATCTGGAATTTCTGATCCCGTAGCTTGATAGACTAATAAATTATAGATGAAAGATGAAACAAGAAAAAAAAAATTAACTCCGACTGTACGATAATTGAGCATGATCGTTTCGCAGATATAAATCAATAATTGACAAAGCTGACTTGTGTTTCTTTTATTTAACCCACATTGTAAAATTTCCATTTTTTTTTTTNAATGAATGATAATACTAAATTTACGTAATTTTCATCTCAATCTTTGTAATTAACAAGACTCAATTTTATTTTTCAGCAGTCAATATTTTTGCAGTTCACCAAAAGCAATCAACACTTTATATTTTTTTAAGATTCATCGAATCGCTAAACAGTTAAAAATTGCGAACTGGCGCAATTTCGATAAAACAATTTGATATAAAACCTCAGCAAAAGATTTTACGCAAATTCATAAGTGTAGTGAACTAATAGTATTTGGTTTGGTATAAACCTTTTCAAGCTAAGCTGGACATATTTTTTATGCATTTATCAGTGATCCATCGTAGTTTTAACAGCTAAATGAAACACTTTTAGTGTGCTTGAAAATTGTTAGTTTGAAAAATCTACACTGATATTTTCATACCAACGCACTCAATTGAGCTTTAAGGTATGGCGTGCATTTCTAAGCGCAGACATCATACGGAGAATGTGCACATTAGCTGTTATACCATTGTAATATAATGTTAACAAAATAATTAATCTTATGCTATTCATTTATCACAAGTATAATATTTTTTTTTATACAGTATTTATACAAGAGTACAAAATATTACTACGTACTTTACTCGCGGCGTAAATTTTCGAGACGGGCTTGAAGATCTGCGTCGGCGTCGGTCAAGTTTCCTCCATCGTCGTTGGCTCCGGCTGCGGTGGCGACGGGTTGCTTCGATCCTGATACACTTAGAGATCCAGATGCTTGTGGTAAACCTGACAGCTGGTCAGTAAGCTGGAGGCCAAGTTCATCCAAGACTTGAGAAACGATCGCGTCACTGGAAATTACAAAACAATCAGCGCGGTTCATATTGTTGCATATTTAGAAGGATTTCCAAATGAATACCTCTCTTCCTCATCCCCCTCATCCTCCATAGCGTCGTCGATAGCATCATTCATAATTTCTTCTTTCATGTCCATTATTTCCGACTGCTTTTCAAACTCTAGCAAGATTTTTTGTATCTGTGGCAGATTAAGTTGTCTGAAAGAAAATATAATAATAAAATCATTAATGTTATCAAGTTAATAATTATTTAGTGTTGTTTTAAAAACCCTGACTTGTTCATGTTTTGCATTGCCTTGGTAACACCTTTCATTGCCTGAGCCATTGTGTTTTGTGATCTCAAGGTCTGGATTTTCAGGGATACTGCTTGGATGTTTGCTTTCATCAGCATAAACTTTTTAACGTAACGTCTCGTCCTAACAAGATCCTTTGCCATGATTTTAACGGCATCCTACGAAAATACAGCAACATGAGCCCATTACCAAGATATCTTTTTACCCTCCAATGATTACCATTTGTCCATCTTTCGCCATTTTCTTGATATCTGCGATAATTTTTTTCTCCTGCTGTTCCATTTTTGCTCTTTCTCGATCAAGATCTCTCATGGCCTTGTTTAGTGCACGCTGGTTCTTCCTAAGCATCTCTTCAGGAGTAATACGTTTACCAAAGAGCCACTCCATTTTGATGTTGCTACAAGTTAACAAAAAGAAAGATAAGTTAATATGTATACAACTGACAAGGTTAAGTTACTTCGTAGGAAATCAATCAACATGATTACTCTTATCGTAGCGGTAAAACTATAAGTCAGTCAATTACAGCTATCAAAAATGTTCTAAATATATTGTAAAATTTTTTTTGCGAGTCGTGAGTCATCGACACCAATACGTAAACGTTTATAAAACTGTACCAACTACCTCCTCACTTCAAAAACTCCACAACTTGAACGGGACTCTAAAAAACAGCAACAATCGAAACACACTCTAAGCACTTTTATTAGTTGACAAAGTAAGTATCCGACGGCACACCTAAAATAAAATAGTGTTGACAAGAGTACTTCAACTCAATTTCCGTGGTGGACCATGCATGCATACCTACAGAGAGAGAGAAGACAACGACAACAATAATATATACTGTCCTTTTCTAACCTACATGCGCACACAATCACAAACAGCTGGCAGAGTGGGGCGTCAACCTAACTCAACCCAAAGCCCGTGCAGAGCTAATCCTAACCTCGAGTAAAAACATTTAGCAATCCATTAAATAGTACGTGTCATCGTGGTGTGCTCATCATGTTTATCTAATCTCTCTTTTACTTATCATATTAAAAATTTGTTAACAATTCACAGTGATAAGAGCGCGAAAACAACTGATATACCGCAGTGTCTTTTGAGTTGTTCAACGTTGCGAGAGAGTGTAATCGATTAAAAAGCTTGTCGACATAAGTATAGAGCATATATGCTACTTACAGTGGATGCGAGCACACACGTGTTGTTGTCGAGCAACCCCCCGACCTGACTCAAGTGCATATGGGTCGGTATACGAATTGCGATGTGGTGCGCGATCAGTATTTATTTCAATAATCGCTTATAAGACTAAAGTGGGTAAGAAAAGTAGAGCGCACATTACTGCACATTTCACTTAGGAGCAAGTTGTCGATCAAAAACCGTAGAAGATGTCGGGCAAGGGTAAACAGCACTCGAAAAAGTCGATGGTCAAATCGCGTGACAGTGGCAAGCTGGCCCAGCAACAACAACAGCAGCAGCACCATCATTATCACAGTACTCACCACCACCAAGTCCATCACCATCACCATCATCAGCAGCAGCAGCAGCAATCGGTTGCGGCACACTCGGACACGAGCTCCGAGGGCTCGGAGATGATCAACATACCGGTAATCAAGCTGGAGGAGACCATGAATCTTCTGCCCAAATATCACAGTATCCTACAGAGAAATCCCGAGGATGGAATCAGCATGGAGGATCTGGACACTTTGCAAGGAGAGCTGGAGATCTTGCTCTCGTCCGCAGTGGTGCGCAAGAGAACTCTACAGGAGGAAATTATAAATTTGTCAGCGTCCGAAGAGCGCAGGGACAGGAGGTCCAAGAGTAGCAAGAGTTTGGCTTTGATCGAGAAGAAACTGAGAGATGACAAGCTCAAGCCTAAGGATATTGGAGTAAAGTCCCAATCTCCATTGCCTGCAAAACTGTTGAAGCAACGGGCCAGTGGGAGCGCGGCTAATCAAGTAGTGCCCAATCCTCACGAGATTCTCAGAGTGGAGGGCTCAAAGTCGGATGTTCACATGAAACCAAAAAATGACACTTGTAACAAGTTCTGGGCTTCCGTGGATCCTTACTGTACGGACATCACACCAGACGATATTAAACTATTAGAGGAGCTCATAGCCAGTCACAGCGATCTTGGGGAATATAAGACGATTCCACCACTGGGACGTCATTACAGTCTTGCATGGGCACATAGTGATTTGATGCAAGAGGAGGAAGCTGGAAATCCAAATAAAGAGAAAAAGAAGAGCAAAGATATAGGTCTCTTGCTGGCCAAAGGAGAAAAAAAAGCCAATGGTGAGTTGTTTGTAGTTTTAATTGCAACAATAATTGATTTTCAACCGGGTAAACGTTTGAAATCGTCTTTGTTTCTAGGTATTGCCGGTCCCTTAACCCAAAGACTAGTCTCTGCACTTCTGGAGGAAAATGTTTACGTGGCAAATAACAACTCTGACGGAAAGTTATTCCGAGATGGAGATTCTCCAGTTCTGAGGGATTTGTCGATACAAAATTCGATGAACCTCGAAATGAGAATGCACAAGGAATTGGTGGAGCAAGGGATTTTAGAACCAGACAGTCAGAAAAAAAATCCCGAAGACGACGAGATACTGACAGAAATTAAGAGATGCCAAAGGGAGTTGATGGCCCTTTCTAGTCACAATCAAATTCAGTTGAAGAAATTGTTGCATTTAGCCCAGGAAGAAAGCAAAAGGCAGGCACTAAAACGCAAAATTGCGGCAGTAGATAACGAGGTTGTAGAGCATTACGAAAAATTGCTTCAGGCCAAGCAGAGAAAAATTCCATTGACCAAGAAAGAGACGGAAAAGGCATGGGCTAGTCTCAAGGAAAGGGAAAATCTTCTTGAGCAGCTTAACATGCTACCAGCAAATAGCATTGGAGAACCTGTTGTTGCGAACAACACTGCGACGTAGTGCCAGTTTTATATTGGTTGTATAAAAAATTTTGATTCAGTTATTAAGAATCTCGATTTTCCATGCTGATAAACTGTTATGAAAGTTTTATACATGCAGTCAAGGCTTTGATTAATGTATACAATTTACAAGTCTTTTAGAGTTTATGATCGCAGATTTTAAAAGAATGTATTCATTGATGCATCTTATTTAATCAATATCAAGATCTTAGAAAAATAATGTATGCGTCATTACTCAAGACTGCGGTTTTAATTATCACGCATTGTACAGAAAACCATTTTTTGGCACAATTGTTAATCTTCAAAATGCTTTAAATTAAAGTATGCATATAACTAGTGAAAATAAAGTAGGGTATTATATTTGTGATCATTTTTAAATTTCGGTTAAAATTGAAGTACACTTGACCCAAACTGTAAAATTATTTAAATCACAAATATATGGAAATGGCACTCAGCAGTTTTTTAATGTTACTCGAGAATTGGGAATTATGAACATTTCATAACTCTATCATAAGTAATCAGCTATACACCTTTTTCCAAGGTTACTTTGCATTTATAGATTACAAGTCCAGGAGTGTGAACTCAATTACTGCGAGACTTATTTTTCATGTTTTTAGATGTGCACCAAATTGTTATAGTTTGTATGAATCGATAGTTGATGAAAATAAAAAAAACATAGGGCCTTGTACCATATATACTTAAGCTTCCAAATAAGTTTAAGCGATAATCTAATCTTAAATTGTCATGCCATTTGTGTCCAAAGCGTGTCTTAGGAAATAAATATAATATTTTCAAAAGTGTTTTTTCTTTTCTCAATAATCTTAAACACTGTAAAAATAATTATCACGATGATATCAATGCACATGATAAAAAATATTTTTATAAATGTCAAAACAAAATTTTTTGTTTTAGAAAGAAACCAACTAATCGGTTTAAAAAAAATTGGGAAAATTATTTATAAATGGTAAACAGTTCTCAATTCTAACATTTTATTGTTTATTGTTTTACGTATTACATACTTGCAAATAACAAATTTTTTAACATTGGAAACTCTTCAAAGATAATGTTGTTTGGCCAATTGACAAACAAAAATTTCCTAAAATTGATTCTGTGTTGAATACATGAAACATTAAAATATATGAAAAGGTATGTAAGAAAGTAAAAGCGTTTATCTCACGACAAAGATGTTTATTCGATATCACTGTACAGTTTCCTCGCCAAGAGTTACCTCAAAAACGTGCGTACACAACAGCACAACAATAATGAATCGCTCGGGTAACAAAAGAGTTTGAGAAAAATTTTATTTGCCTTAACGACGATAGGGCGCTTGAATATGAACGTGCGTGCGTGCGCGTAATGATTTTTTTTTTTTTTTTTTTTATGTGAGGCTGCTGTTCTCGTTAACTTTTTGGTCAACTCCTATCGTTTATTTATGAATAACTGAAATTCATTATTTCAATAACAATTGTGAGATACGCTACACCGAACAGTAGACCATGAGATTATTGAGAACAAGTTAATGGCTGTTGATGGAGGGATTATTATAACGGCTTGAAGACTAGTAGATGACTTAATTATTCGTGTACAGCCCCGTGTTGTTGGTTTTCTTTCTTAACTCTATTGTCGCACCGTTGATCTCCGTTGCAGCAAGTCACTGGTTCTCTCAATGATATCATGGACTGAACCGCAAACCAAAAACAGCTGCCTCTTAACACTAAGTCAAAGGAGGCTGCTTTGGCAGTGACGCACTAGAACTATTGGTATTTTTTTTGTTTAATGGAGGATTCGTAACTTAGAAGGCGAAGAGGAGTAGGAAAGCCATCATAAGACAAAATAGACCCATGGCTTCTGACAAAGCAAAGCCCAAAATGGCGTATGAGAAGAGCTGCTGCTTGAGAGATGGGTTCCTGGCATAGCCGATGATGAGCGAGCCAAAAACTGATCCAATACCAGCACCTAAAAAATTTACCAATATTCATTAATTTCCTGAAAACTTATCATTTTAAAATCAGATTATTAATTATAAAAATAGGTAAGGTAGATGTAGGTTGGAAGATTAAACATTAAATTGATAAAAGGAATAGGTCATGAATATTACGTGAATGATTGTTAATATAAATACAGGTACTCCTCCATATTCATTAAATGGTGAAGGGATATGTGCAGCAGGTGAATGAATAGGATCAGAAAGCAAACAGTAGCAGGAATGCTACCATCAGGCAGAATAAGCCCATTGCTTCTGTTAGGGCAAAACCAAGGATGGCATAGGCAAAAAGCTGTTGTTTTAGGGAAGGATTTCTTGAATAACCAATGACCAAGGATCCAAACACTAAACCTATACCGACACCTGGAAATAACAAATTAATCACTGTTACGGATGATAAGGGATACAATTTAATTAAGGATTTTCATGTAGACAAAAACAAAATGTTTATGTTATATAAGTGTTGCATAATGCATGCTTAAACCACTTATGGAATGTATGTATATCAGCTCCCAGATAACTCGTAATGATAAACAAAACAAGCATCGATGCAAGTTGTGATTAATCGACTTAATTTCACTCACCAGATCCTGCAACTCCAACAGTGGCAGCACCAGCACCAATGAATTTGGCAGCAGAGTCAATGTCACGGCTGACCGACGACGTCTGGAAGCTACGGATAGCCGGCGACTGAAAATACGTGAAAGACTAAATAACCAATCCATCATGATACAACCCATTTAAAATATAATTCAGGGTTTTGGTTACCTTCGCGTTTTTTTCCTTACATAACTTGCGTTCGTTATGCAATGAAAAACCGTCAACACAAGTAGAAACTACAAATAGTAAATAAGTACCATACTCACCAGACTGACTGGTGTTGGGTTTTGGCTTTGCAGCGTCTGGCTGTGGTTCACCACCATACTGCTGATTGGCCTGACATAGGCCTTTGGTCCAGTGATCAGCTGAAATAAAAAAATCAAAAGACCAAGTCAATATATATCTCATACGTGTGTCCCATTACATAATAAGATCAGTGAACTGCGCCCGTCAATTTCGCGCAAGTATGAAGACCAAAGCTACTTACAGCGGACCTGGCAATGGGGGCAATCAATCTGGCGCAGAACATGTTTACCTTGGCTTTTCCTTCTCACACAAAACGAAACCTGCAAAGCACCAGAAAAAAAAATCCGTCAGTCAAGATCTCTAGGTCTCTTATAGATATTTATTCCCCTTAGCAGATGAAAAGCCCTCTTGTGCGCACGTTAGCCGAAAAAAGAGTAACGGAGCAAACGACAGCCGAGCGGTGCGGTTCACCCAACAGGAGCTGGAGCAGCAGGAGCAGCAGCTGCACCCCCCAACGACCTCGTCCTCGAGAAAAAGGAGGATAAGAGGAAGAGGGTCGTCAAAGAGAGGGAGAAAGAGAGAGAGAACAGAAGAGACCCGTGCAGGGGTTACGTAACTACTGGCTGCTACTACTCCTGCTGCTGCTACTACACTCGAATTATCACGGTTTTTAAACGTAAATAACCAATCTACCGCTACTAACTCCTCGAGTTAACACTCGTCGAGGACACAGAGAGGACTCGTGGTCAACGCGATTAACGAGACGTCTCCCCGGGCGACTACTTACACAGCGATGACACACGCGTACTTAATCCCCGGCCGATGTCTCGTCCCTTTCGTTACCCGCGACTGCCGCAACACAAGAGAGAAAATGGCCGCGTCTCGCCTACGAAGACCGTCGCGAGCGCCACCGACGAATTTATACCCCTACTAGTCCTACTATCACCACCTCCCGCCCTCGCCCTGTCCTTTCCGTGTGTGCAATGTGCTGCATGCCCAGCTTTTTACTACTATCCGGAATCCGGAGTTCGGAGACATTTTGCACGTGTGCGTACAGTCTATCTATCTTCAAGCTAGCTCTGTATGTAGGAGACAAGTAACTAACTTATATGAATGTGAATGGGTGGAGTTGCCAGAAAACGGAGCGATCAGTAATTTGGATTTATTTCTGTTTCATTCTGTTTTTCGTTCTGTTAATGGCCCTGAAATTTCATGATTTATGCTTTGTTTTTTGTATGACAAAAGGGGCCTGAATGAGTCGAGTTTTCATGCAGTGAAGATTGAATATGACATTAAATGTCACAGACTTTGTTTTGGCTTTTCACAAACTATGAAATATAATTTTTTAGTTAATATGCGGCCAAGTACAAGTTTATTTCAGAAAATTTGAGAAACTCGCAGAAAACAAAGCTGCAAAGCATGAGGTATTGTTCACATCTGATTACCGGTTTTAAAAGTTTAATTAAAAACTTCTCAATAAAAACGAGTTTCTGGGCGTTGTTTTATATTTTTTACTTTATTCCTAAGTTTTAAAGAACAGACACTCCTTTGTTGTAATAATTACTCAACTGCAAGTGCTCACATCTCATACAGAGCAAAATAAACAAAATAAGAATTTTCCACTTAATACTCAAAGAAAATTAAATTAAATGCTCCTTGTTAATAAATTACTGGTACAATGCTGGTCAATGACCTTACAAAACCTGTCATTATATTTCAAAAAAACCAGGACCAAAGTTCCACAGTAATTGAAAAATAAACAATAAAATTGTTTCAGAATTTATTACCAGCAAATTTAAATAAGTTTTAAATTTAAAAGCAATTGATACTTGTGGTTTGACACCCTTATTGCTCAGTGACGACACTAACTTGATGACCCTTATAGACCGAGCAGACAGAAAATCGAAACTCAAGCCTATAGGGGCAACTTCAACACATAATACAAATGTATGTACACAAGAAAAATGAAATAAGAGATCGGAATTTGGGACGCAAATACCACAAGTTTTTCTCTGGTCTCTTTTAGCAAAAATACTTATTGAAATCTATCAATTGGCCAAGCATTCAAAAAAATAATCAAGTACGAAGTAGGTATGTAATGAACGGAAGAGAAAGAGAGAGACAGTAACACAGACAACCAGAGAGAGGAAGCCACGTTAACATTACTTAATGTTGATAAAGAACTCGACTGATTGGATAAAGGATACCAATCTTTCTTCACAAAAAAAAAAGAGAAAAAAACGAACAAGTTATTTATATTTTGTTTAACTTAGGTACCCGATACCCAAGTGAGTTAAGTAGTAAAGAACCAAAGTCACGCGACCGATATCGACCTTTTTTTTTTTTTTTTTTTTTTTACGTCGTCCGTCGTCGCCGTCCGGTGGCTTATATCCAACGAATACCATCGCTGTCTTCTTAACCTAATAAAGATTTCATGTATATTTTCAATGGTATTTTATTCTTAACGTTTAAGTAACGAGCCCATGTATAATCGATGGAGCAGAATAAATGTTACGAAACACGTAAAGTTAATACCACTCGATAATAATAAGGGAGGTTATGCGCACCGATGTACTCTCGATAAAACTCACTTACTCACCTATGAAATGTTAATAAGAGGACGACGTAGGTCTGCCGGCTTATTTGGAATGTTGAGTTACAGAGTACCTAAAAAAATACCTAGTGCTTGTGACGATAATGCTGATGGTGCTGATGTGAGGATAAGATGATCCACCGGGAGCAGAGATGGGTAAATAGTGCGACACTGAGTTTACGACACGTCAGGTGTATAATATGACATGAGTGTCGTAAATTGTATAATTTGTAATAAATGACACTAATTTCAAAATCAAAATAATAAACGCGTGAGATTCGAATAAGATAATGAGTCAACAAGTAGAAGTCTACACTTATTGTGATGAAGCTATCAAATAAATAACTAATTAATTCAATAAATAATAATACAATAACTTAAGATAAACTGAACAAAAAAACGACTGAACTGTAAAAAGGCACTCTCTAAATTTAAAATAGTGAAAATTTCACTAATTACGCAAGTGAACAAGATTTTCACTTGCGAAATAGTGAAAAATGAGGGTCGCTCATTGGCACCCAATCGATACAAATTTTAATTCTAATTATTTATCAGTAATCCAATAAAATATCTTGATCCAAATAAGGTAATTGCACAATTCGTACACATTTTTCAAGTACTACCAACAATAGTTTTAACAACTAATTGAAATAGTGAAACGTTAATTTGGAAGAATAGTGAATATTCACTATTTCGCAGAGAATATTCATTATTTAACATGTTATAAGTATACAACTATGAAATAGTAAAAGCGACTGTTTCACTGTATAAATAGTGTATATTCACTAATTTACACTGCATGTGCACTATTTTGAATAAATTGTACAAATAACACTATACTAAATTTAGAGAGCAGTGCAGTGCTCACAAAACCGGTACTTACCCAACCAAGCACGAAAATTCAAATCTTTTAAGGTTACAACACAAGCGCCAATAACCCAATAATAACAACAAAGGATGTAAAATTTATAACAAAAGGTGCTGACTCGCCACTCTATTGAATAATAAATTTTCAATCAATAACACAAGCACCTATCACCCAATGACCCGGGGCGCATACTGGCCACTTTATTAAGTAATAAAATGTTGAACAATAACACAAATGCTAATCACCAGACGAACCAAGGTTTAATTTTATCAAGTGGCCAGTAAGCGCCTCGATTTGCCTAGTGATTAGCACTTGTGTTATTATTCAATGCATTACTAATTAATAAAGCAAATATAGTAAATGCCCTAGGTTGTTTGGCTGATAGGCGCTTGTGTTATTGTTTACCATTTAATTAATTATTGTAGCGACCAGGAAGTCCTCTGGATTCTCTAATGATTCGCAGTTGGAGGCGCGCTGCAGAGAGGAGCAGCGAGAGAAACAAGGAGAAAAAGAGAAAGATGTCGTCGGTAAGGCAGAGCTGTGCAATCGAGTGTGCACAACTAAAATTCCGAGAGGGAGCTTGCATGTTACTGCGAACGAGCTTGCAATCCGCGCGGATAGTGTAAAAACAGGTAATTTTAAAGTAAAAATCATAAATTTTATCTTTTATTCTTTTGGTACGATGGAAAAAGTGTGTGTAAGAAAAATTGAAGACACTAAACAAAAACTTTAGTTTGAGATTGTCTTACAGCTATTTACACATGTGTGGCTGAGCAAATCTGTACGTTTATATACAAGGTGCTTTAACTCAAAATGGAAATGAAATCGAAATAATTGAGAGATACTCCTCAAGCTGCCTATAAAATTAATTAACAAACTACTAATAATTTCAATTTGTCGGGTACATACGATTAATCAAAACGCTCGATCGATCGACACGAGTTACCGCCAGGTCGTATAGGTTGGTGTGCCTTACTGATTCAAACCAAATGTGGAACAATTTGTAGCAGTTTTTCGGGCCTTAGACCTTCGCTGTGCGCCTTCGTTTACTACAGTCGAGTCATAGAGAAAATAATATAAATAATTGTATCATCTCTCTCTCTCTCTCTCTCTCCTCCATGAGTCAAACACACGCTCTATTTTGAAAATATAGGGGTGCCAACACACGACCTAGCGATAGTTTACGATAATCTCATTTCCAAATACTCTTCTGAACCTTATTTCTTATATAAATACACTCACATTTGTATTTCATGTACTACATTTGTTTTTAGATCAAAGTAGCGCTGCCAATTGAAATTTTGGACGTCGGTGTCATTGTTGTGTACAATACAACATAAGTACTCAAATATCTACATTAAAGTTGAGAGACGACGCGAAGCTCATATACTTAGGGAAGAGCAAAAGAGTAGGTTGTAGGTAAGAACCAGACTGTGTATCATAGTGCCGGTGGTGGGTCAGGTCGACTCGTGGTGGATGGCCATTTACAATATGAATTTCACACATAAGTACCTCATACAGTCATAGTACCATGTATTTCATATTCAATATCTTCATCATATATAAATATATATATATATATACAACATACGACCCCCGGCCGGCCCCCCCGCGTGCAATCGAGAATCGGAGTCATCGCCCTCTCTCTGCGCGCTGTTCAAGCCACGAAGTAATCAAGCTCAAGCCAATTCACAATAATTATTGTTTACACCTTGAAAAAGTGTTTGTCACGTATTAAAAGTATTATAAGTAGTGTAGTTGCCTCTATCATGAGAGGTATTATTTACTCTTAAAAAGCTTATACACACACATATAATTACAACCTACTCGGCACACTCGGTGTAAAAAGCAACAAAACTGTTAAGCGCGACAGTTGCGATGCCAAAAGTAGTATTGTAGATGTACACGTCGACGACGCGCAAAGAGCTTTTTTTACCGGCAACGTCGCGTCTCTCGTTGTTGTACACAGTCAGAGTGTCGGTGTCGTCGGAGGGTAGACATAAGTATTGTATATATAACATTCTCCGTTCTTTTATTTCTCGTTTTTTTTTTTTTTTTTTTTTTTTTTTTTTCATTTTCGTCCGTTAATACCCTGTGGAATGCGTTTTGCCATATACCGATAGCTAAGTATCGGCGTGTAATAAAAAAAAAAGGTTGCGAAAGGGGCTGCGACGATTTCTTTTGCCGGTCTTTACTTGCTCTCGCCGTTATATGTACATACACATAGGTACAGGTATACACCTATACCCATTTAGTGCAAGATCTTACCCGACCGTATACCCGAGAGAGCGATGTGCAGTGCATGACCTCTCTCTTTCCCTCTCGCGCTCAATAAAGGTAGATATATACATATATATATATATATTTTTTTTTTGTCGCGTATGTATATACCATCACCTATATTTACATCGGAAAGCACACGCAGAGAGAGAGCAAGCACGTATCAGACAGCACAGCGCAGCGGCGATAAGCGCTTGCTGCTGCTGTGCTGCTGGCAAGCCAAACACATATAACAATATACTTACACCCGCAAGTGCGAGAGACGGCGAGCAAGAAAGAGGGGTCTGTCTCTAGTCTACTGGGCCAGGTCGTCAACTATATATCTATACATATATACATATCAGCTGGTATCACATATTACCCTCATCTGTGCTATGGCCGTATTCTTGCTGAATGTCTGCAAGTTCAACTCGTGCGGGCTCAAGTTCCAGAGTTTGGGACATCTCATACAACATATCGAGGAGACGCATATTGGTAAGTCATGGTAGTTTTTTTTCTCTTGGCCGATCGTTACAAGAAATAATTAGTTATTGCGGGCGTGGGTATTTCAAGCTCTCTCTCTCTATCGGCTACGTGCATACGTTGCTCATATACGTGACGCAAGCTGGGACATACATATATCGATAAATACACCATATGTATATGTATAGAGTTGCCCGAGGTTATATCTGGGCGCTCCCCGACCGCTGTCGTTTGTCTCTTTCTCTCTTTTTAATTGACAGCCTAAGCCGTAGCTCGCGATTGTTTCTGCATGGCTTTTTATGCATGTTCAAGGGAGATGTCAGCTGAAGATCGATAAGGTTTCGGGACTGTGGGATCTTGGGCTTTTAAATTTCGGTGCGGCATTATGCGTATTGAGTTGTGCAGGGCATACATATCGAGCTTTTTAACGAGACGCGCTGAGTGAGGCCACGCCGGGTGCTGCTATATATATATATATATCATATTTTTTCAAGCTCAATTGAATTATTGTCAATGAGAGTCACCGAGCTTTTAGTACTTATATGGGTTTCGGTTTGAAATTTTGGTGTTTGTTTTATAATAGGAAATTGTATAAAACTTAATTACAATATCTGTTTTGAAGTTAGTAACGATGTAACGAAACCTAGACGCGTCAATGTGTTTTTTTCGTTGAAACATGAATGAAAACAACACCAACATGTCGATGAACCACAAAAAAACAAAACTTTACTAATATCCCTAACACGATTAAAAACGTTAACTTATGTAGCGATGTTAATTGGATATTAATGGGACACACATTTAGTAATCATAATTGTATGTTTGTCTTAACTAGATTGAAGCGATGTAGTAGTTTATACGGCAATTTTTAATGCATACGATCAGTAAAGAAGGGAAAAAAAAAACTCATTCACAGACTATGACCCACACGTGGTGGAACGAACGGAGCAGCAGCAGCCGGCGTGTATACCGCTGAGCTACGTGCTGCGCTTCCTCACGGACAGAGAAATCAATAGTAACAAACAACAGCAGCAACAACAACAACAGCAAATCGCTACGACCAACGCCCAGCAACAGCAGCAGCTGTCGAGGCCGGCTAGTCAGTCGTCAATCGCGTCGTCGACGACGAGTACGACGACGAACAACAGCAGTGGTGGCCAGCGTATTTGCAAGAGTCTCACGCCGACAGGTAAAGCCCGATCCTCGCGGACCCGCGAAAGAGAGAAGAAGAGACGACTTTATTGAGTACAAAAATAAACAGAGTTAAAAAGCTAAAGAAAGATACTATAAGAAAGAAAAAAAAAAAAAATTACAAAACAAATTATTAAGTACAAAATATAAATCGGTCGATCTGCTACTCCTACTGTACTTCTACCACTACTACCTACTACTACTATTGTACTACTACTACTACTACTACTCGGGCCGTAAATGGTCCCGAGCCGAGTGACGAGGGTTACATTAAGCACGTTATAGGAAGTGAGGCTGAGGAGGGCGAGGATTTTCTTAGCGAACCCGAGGACAGCAACGACTCCTGTACTACGCTTGAGGAGTTTTCCCAGGACTTCATATTGCGATATGGAAGCAGGTGCGTCTTGTGCATACATGTGTATGCAAGCCTTTACATCCGGCCAAGTCAAATTAATTGCTTTTTACATTTTGCACGATTATTACACAATTAAAATCAATTTCCATACAAAGTGGAAGAATTCAGTTTTCAATGATGATTTCAAGAACATAACACAATCTACAATTGTTAATGTAAATTTTTTCAAAATTATCTTCAGCTCCACTTTTGAATTTTGATTTGTTGTAATTCTGGCTGTATCATAGTTTTCTTTATAAAACTACACCTACTTGCATTAATCGAAAAAAATTCATTTCAGGAATACTAGTCATAATACAGCAAACCAAAGCAATAAGGGCGAGAAACGTTTTGTTTGCCCGGTACCAGGCTGCGACAAGAGTTACAAAAACATGAACGGGATCAAGTACCATTCGAAAAATGGTCACAAGAACGATGGCAAGTACGTACAAATATTTTTAGGGAGAAAAAAAATTTGTTTTTGATTGTCTATTTATCATATTTAGTTACATACTTGATTGACGTGACAATTTTGATGGATGAGTTCGAAATTTTTTATATCTGTTTATAAGATTCGAATTAAAAAAAAAAATTTTTTCTCCATGATGCAGTAAGTCGCTTGTTTTCCCATCGATTCCACGTTGATTATTTTCTTTTTAAAGGGTAAAAAAGGCGTACAAGTGTCCTTGCGGCAAAAGCTACAAAAAAATTTACGGCCTCAACAAGCACACGAATTTGAGGCACAATCACGGCGTCGCCTACAAGCATTCCCAGACGATTAAACAGAAGCCGAAAAATCGTTTGGAAGACAAACACTTACAGAAATACCAACATTCGAGGCCGATTTTGCCCAAAATCCCAAAGATTAAAGTGCCCGCTATTCAGGACCATGGCTACATGAAGCAGGAACATTACTCCGGCGAGGCAGATAGCGAGTACGAAATAAGCAGCCTGGGCATCCTGACACCTGCGGCGTCACCCCCGCTGCCCAGTCCAACTCAGCCCCAGATTTATAGTAACAAGCATCATCATCACTTTGCTGGTTCCATGAATTCTAGTCAAACGCACAGGCCGTGCGACAACTAGTCAGCTTTTTCTTTATCATCTTTCTCTGATCCTTCATGATGAGACTCTGAAAGAGTTACAAGATTCGAGTCAGTTGATAAACACAAACACTATAACTCTCACCCATAGTTTTTTCTCTAAAGTGCATTTTTAGTGTTAAATGCAGATATATCAGGGGATAAAGTTCTGCATTTGCCAAAAATGCAGAAATTCGACTGGAAGGCTCGATGACAGTCACAGCATACTGCACTGCTTGCTGGAAAGGCGCAAAAGTTGAACATTGTTCTGCAGTCTGTAGACTTACTTGAGTCTTATTCTTGGCTAAGTACCTTTAATCACAAACCATTAGCCATTATATTATATTGGCTCGTTGTTAATTGTTATTATAGTTCATGAGATTTGAAAATAAAATTGTAGAAAAAAAATTTTATTACAAATAAAAAAAAATAAAAAAAAAAAAAAATCCAATAAATTGATCATTGTTCAATATGTTTCTTGACTCGTAATAAGGAATTTTTTTTTATAGTCCTGTTTCTTAATAAATTCATTAAGGTTAATGAATTTTTTTTTTTTTTTTTTTTTTGTAATGTACATAAGTACAATTTATTCTTCCCCTGCACTTCCCCTACGTTCCCGATAGCCTGTGTCAGCTTTTCTTGGTGCGGATGCTAGCTACTTTCGCGCTGCAGTTCTTGGGATTGACAAACTAGCGAGACGCTCTCATAATACTTCCGCGCAAGACCTCACTTCCGCTGTCTCGTCGGAGGCGCTCTACTGTCTATTTTCTTTCTAGGATTCGTATCGCTAGTTCCTTTCGCTTTCCAAGCGCCTGTTTCCTTCAATGACAACCGTGTGTCTTTAATACTTTTTCCGAGTATCTACCTGACGACACGAATATGTGGAACCGACACTTTTCCCCAGAGCCTTCCGACTTTTCAGATCTCCTTAGTGATTCATAGATTTCTCCCAGGCAGATTCTGCCATCTTTTACGTCCTTGTTGATATTACTTAGCCTGTTTGTTGCGTTCACTCAGGTTTTTCCAAGGGTATCGACTTCCTCTGATTGTTTTTGACAGTGCCAACTAATGGATTTGGCTCTGGTTTGCTCGGTCAGTCAACTAACGCATCTGGTTGCTGTTATCGGTATGATCGCAAATGACCAAAGCAACCAAGCTCCTGATATGGTCGTTGCTTCTAGATATTAAGAAGCTCAACGTAGAAGGTCAGAAGCTGACCCTACGATTGAAAAATATTTTTCAAAAATGAAAGGACCTGAGAAACATAAATCATAAAAGAGACAGATAATTGAAATAAAAAGGTCGAGTAGTTGAGGGACATAGCACAAAAAATTGATCATGGTTTATAAGAGAGTAAACCTAAAGACTTTTATATTTCGATTCAAAGGATAATTATCATATAATATATATATTTATATATATTAAAGTTGATGTTACTTTTTTTTTGTAATCGCTTAATATACTAATATCAATTTTAATATAATTACAAGCATCGTTACGTCCTT